GATCAGATTGTCACTAACAATATTAATAAAATTGTACATGATAACAATATTGAATATTATTTGAAAATTAGATAATCAAATTGAATCAAATATTAGAATCAAATTGAAAAAATATCTATTTTTTTTGTCTATATGATATAAATTTTATTTTACCTATTTCATAACTTCCTTTAAAAATTAAATTTTTTTGAATACTAGGAATTAAAAAAAATGATTACAAAATGAAGGAACTATCTAATAAAAGAGATTATGAAATAGATAAAATAAAATTAAAATTTATCTAGAGAAGAAAATGTTAGATAATTTTTATTCAATTTGGTCCTATTATTTTAAAATTGTTAAACTTCGTCTCGTTATTTTTAAAATGTTTAATCTAACTCTCTAATTGTCATAAAATATTCAATGTTATTTTTTCATTTAATTTCATTAATGTTATTGGTGTCAAATTGGATGAAAGTGCAATATTGGACATCCTTTTTTTTATTTTTTTTAATTATATGATCAAATTGAACATTTTAAAACTAGTAAAACTAAATTGAATCCTAAAAATAAATAGATTGACTAAAAATATAATTCATCCTTAAAAAATCACTATAAGTATTTAATTATTCTTCTTATCCCTATTTACTTCTTAAATTAAGTTATGTGATAAGTTACTTATATTAAAAACATTTAGTTCAATGTTACAAAATTGATTTGTAAGATAAAGAATATCTTTTACACATATACTCTATTAAAATTATATCATTAATTTGATATCTACAAACGATTCGATAGAAGTTTAATAATGAGTAATAACTCCAACAATTTATATTTATTAAAATACACTTTCATATATATCATTTTAAGAAATGGGTTATATTTAATTTATTCTTATAAAAAAATTTATAAAATGAATATTATTCTCTAATTATAACATTATTCTGAATATTTTGATCATATTATTCGATATATAATTTTTAACAACGAAAAAAAGTACCAAATGTTGAGAATGTCTAGTCAAAGAAGTAAAATTCTTCTACAATAAATAATTTAAATGAATTTGAGTACAAATACTTCCAGGGTAAGTTTTTTATAGCACTTATGTTTCACTTTCACATTAATCCTTGATCTGAGAACATGTAAAGGAACCAAACTCATTGTCACTTAAACGAGGGAAGTTGATGGTTAGTTATATTTATCATTTAATATTGAAGTCACTGAAGGCTTTCTGCCGTCAATCGCGCGTGCACAAAAGGTTACAAGTGGGTCCTATGCATCCCACAGATGGGTTTTGCAGTTCAAAAGAATCAAACCCATGATGGAGGAGAAGGAAGAGGTGGGGTCCCTCTATCACGTCTAGAAACACACTCAATCAGTGTTTTAAAACCCGGACCGACCCGGCCGGTCGGACCGGTTGGACCGGGAACCGGTGGTCCAGCCGGTCTGAATCTGAAGTTGGATCGGTTATGCAGTCGACCCGTTTTAAACCGGATTGAACCGGTCAATTTTCCGGTTCAACCGGTGAACCGGTGGGTCAAACCGGTTCAACCACTTTTTTTTTTCTATAATTTTTTAAGGAACCATAAATCACAAAAATAATAATGAAAATTGAATCTCTTAATGAAAAAGCAAAGAGTCTTATTAAATATAACAATGACTACTTGTTCTAATATATTTGTTTGCAATATATACAACTTAAATAACTTTTATAGTATATTATTAATTTTAAATTATATATTTAATAATGCAATATCTATGTAAATATTACATATATTATTTTGTGATATTAATTGCAAGCATATTATATATGTACATATTATTTATATTTTTAATTTGTATTAATATACCGTTTAACATGTAATTTTTTTATGTATTTTTTTACAAAATAAAAATAAAAATAATTTTAAATAAGATAGAAAAATTGAAATTTAAAATAAGATATGAATTTATTAAAATTTATAAGTATAAATATATTTAATATGAATATTTTTTAATAAAAATAAATAAAAATCGAGTCATGCGGTTCAACCAGTAATTCACCGATTCAACCTTTGACCCACTGACCCAATACCTTAACCGGTTCGATGACCGGTCCGGTTTTTAAAACTATCCACTCAATTGACCTACGAGTCATAATTGGGAAATGTTCCTGTGTCGTGTGCCGATTATAAACCATGTTGTTGAGTTCATTCGCAACCGATTTTTGTCGCTTGATCCACAGCAACAAGATGTATATTTAGCATCATTATAAAATATTGTTAAATTATGGGCAGATGATATAATATATTTTTGTGACATTTTATTAAATATTAAATAAACTTTGTTATTAATTAAGGATGTTTAATAGCATTTTTACATATAGGAATATCAATAAGTAACGTTTGAGAAGGTTTTATAGTATCTTATCTCGTACTCGTATTTAAAAATAATATTTGACCGTATACTTATACATGTAACAACTTCAATCCTCATTTCTATATGTGCTACTACCTAGATACTCATACTTGCACTCCAAACTCACACTTTCCTTATATACAAGGTTAACAATATATAATAGGGAAAAAAATTTAATTTCCCTAAATTTTACCTCTTTTACAAATAAAACACTACAAACTTTATTTTAGAGTAAAATATCTCCAAATCCTTGAAAATACATATATGTTGCTAGCACTTTAGACCTTGAGAGTAAGAAAAATCTTATTCCTTGAAATTTTTAATTATTTCATTTAAGTCCCTAAAATAATTATTTATTCTCGTTTTAGTACCTAAATATATGTTGATATTATATTTTAGTCTCATATTTCTTCAATTTTAGATTAAAGTGAGTAACATTTTAAATTCTTAAGGTTTTTTTAAAATGTTTTTACTTTCAAGATCCAAAGTGTTAGCGGCATACACTTTCAATGACCCAAATGGTGTTTTATCATTGATTTTATATCAATTGATCTTAAACTTTATCCTCACAACACAAAAAAAAAAAAATTATCATATTATACACATCCTATAGTGACATAATATTTGTCACTAAAAACAATTTTTAATTAAACTATAGATACAATATATGTTAATATATTATAAAAATATGTGTAAATACATGGTATATGATACATGATATATGTTAAATCTCATTCAAAATTAACACTAAAATTATGTGTAGTTATGTCAAATAGATTTATACCTATATATTTTGTACCTATAGAGACACTTTTTGTATGTCACTTTATATAATATTTCTTATAGTGGAACATAAACATTATGAACTTTAATTTTGTTAAAATAGATCCTTAAACTTTATCATTTTTTTTTGCAAATAAATACCTTGATTTTAGTTTCATCTTCATTAAAATGTATTTATCTTTTAAATAATCTCTTATATTATATTGGGTAAAACATCATGTAAAACCCTGGAATACATGATGGTAGAACTTTAGTCATTAAAACTAAGGAAATTATAAATAAGTTCGTGAAAATTCAAGTTGTTTCATTTAAGTCTCTAAAAGTAATCATTCATTGTCACTTAAGTCTATAATATACATTAATTAATATTATCATTTAAGTCACATGTTTTTTTTTTTTAGACTAAAATAAGTAAGATTTTATACTTTTTGGGACACTTTATTTTTTTTTTTAATTTTTATAACTTTTAAGTAGTATATACTTTCAAAGACCAAATAGTCTTTTACCTTATTATATTGGAATTAAACTACTAAAAAAAGAAATATTAATTTATTTTAAACCACACTTATTTATTATTTTTTTTACATATTATTTTTATTTTCATATATATATCAATTTTCTTTATATTAAAACACCATAAAA